AGTCCGTGCGCCGCGGGCCGTCGTACAGCCCCACCGCCCCCACCGACGTCAGGACGATCTCGTCCGCGCCGAGGACGGGCGTCGCCGCCGCGGTCCAGGCCCAGTACTCCATCCCACCCCTCTCGGCCCAGTCAAAGACCCGCAAACGACGTGAAAGTTGTGGTAAACTACGGGTGGGAGTCCTCCTTTGGATCCCTAATCCTTATCCTAAGCCTAATCCTAAGCCTCATATTCATAAGCAGCACCATCAAGGCGTGGGAGAGAGAGGGAGCATTGGCGCCGAACGGCGCACCCTCAAGGAACCCACAGGCGCGCATCGCGCCCTTCAAGAAAACCCATTAAAAGAAAGACGCAAACCCAAAGTGGCACGCAAAGAATAATAATAATAAAATAAAATAAACAACAACAGCAGCAATCAAAAACCGAGGACTGGATCCGTCCTCGCGAGCGCTACGCCGGGTCGTCGTCGGGGCTTTCCTGTTGAAAGGGCGGCATGGGCTTTTGGTTTAGCACCGGGGGCTGCCGAGTTCCCTCGCCAGGCCCCACCTCGAGGCCCTTTTCGCTCATCAACGCCGCGCTCTCCTCGCGGAGTTGTCTAAACAAGTCGTGGGCCTTGGTTTGCAGCCCCTCGTCGTTGGGGTTCTGCGCGTACTCGTCCAGGACGCCTTGCAGGCGCTCTTTGTTTTTGCTATTCCACGAGGCAAGGGGGATTTGCCCGCTGCCGCGCGGCAGCGGCTTCCGCTGCGTCGCGCTCGGGCTCCACGCGATGACGTGGAAGATCTCAAAGGTGGCCGGGATCAGATTATTCCGCCGGTACATCCCATCATAGCAGGCGCAGGTCGCCAACAACACCTCCCGATTCAGGGGCTTCCGCTGCACATGGCAGGCGCTCTCGCCCATCCGCGAAAGGTGCTCCATCAGGTGAAAAGGCGTCTTGTAGAGCAACAAATGCCGATCCAGGTCGATCGTGGGGAGGTTGAACCCGGTTTGCAGAATCAGCGTCGACAACCCCGCCCCGTCAATCATGGGGGAGATGTGGGAGCTCACGCCGCCGAGGACCTCGGTCTGGGCCATGGAAAAGCAGCCGCGGAGCTCGTACAAGGTGTTCCCGCCAAACATACTCGACAGGAGAAAGCCGTCCCGCTTCAACACCCGACGCGCATTCACGTAGGCGGTCTCCAAATCGTTCACCCAGTGCATCGACAGGCAGGACACGATCATATCCACCGACCGCTCGGGGATGCCAAACGGATCGGGCAATTCCTCATCGCAGTTCAGCTGAACATACTCCACGTCGGGCGGGATCAGGCCTTTGATCTCGCGGTAGTTTCGGTTGAGCCGGTCCTCGGAGATGTCGGTCTGGATGTACTGCTGCAGGCCGTGAAGCTGGCCGCGCTCGATCATATGGCGAAAATACCAGCCGGCGTGGGCGCCGATCTCTAAAACCACCGGGGTATCCCGCTTGACAAAGGCCCGGCGCTCCAACATCTGCCCCGCGCACAACTTGTGCAAATCGCAGGTCGCGGAGTCAACCATGCTGCGCTGCAGGCCTTTGAGGTGGCGGTCAAAGTACCGCATCGTCGTCGGCCGCGCCGGGGTGGATCGCGTTAAAATAATCGGCGAGTTCATGGAAAGGGCGCTTCAGGGTGTGTGTGTGTGGGGGGGGACTAACAAGAGGGATGCGAGGCGTGAGAAATAGATAACATCTTGACAACAGAGGACTCCTATACCTATACCTCTATACCTATATATCCATATATGCGTGTGTAATATTATAGTAGTGTCCGCCTTTCAACTGTTGGGTCAGTGGAGCGTGTAATTTCTCCTTTTTCATGCAACCCTCTTTTGATCAATTTCTATTTTTTTTTGGTATTTTGGCTTTGAATAATAATAATAATAATAATAAAACAAGCTTTCGTTGTATCTAACGCCCGCCTTTGTTTACCATACTGGGAAAATAAATCCCTCCTCCTCCTTTTTCCCCCAGGTGGGTATCTAAATAATGATTACATTTGAATTGGAAAGTATTGCTAAAAGCGAATAGCACAGACTACCCGGTGCACCAACCACCTCTAATAAGGAACCGAAACCGATAAAAACTAAGCTCGTCCGCAACTTCTACCCCTCCCCCTCCCCCCCCCTTTGCACTTGTGCGTCCATTCAACCATTCCATAGAGGCCTTACCTTCCCTTGCGCTGCGCAAGGACTTGCCCCGCCATCGCCAGGTGCTCCTCCAGGTCGTGTGAGTTCTTCTCATACTCGCGGAAGGCCTCCAGGAGCATTTGATAGCGCTGCTCCATCTCCTCCGAGAGTCCGAGGACCCGATG